GGGGGGGGGGGGGTCTCTGCTTGTCCCTAGGGAGCAGGAGCCGGGACATCACGTGAGGTTATGAGCATCAAAGACAAAACCTGGGAAACCAGGCTGGAGGGCCGGATACTCAGAGAGTCAGGGCGAGGGCCCCCTGCCTGAGAGCCAGGAAGTAGTTTACCATGGGAGCCCCAAAAAAGGGGCCTGGGCAGGAGGGGAAATGTTTTCTGAGACAAAACAGCCCCCATGCCAAGTCTCTCACCCTCGGCCAGCAGCTTCCTCCCTCCCCAGGGCCGGGCGGGTGGGAGGCCAGCGCTGCGGTCAGGAGGCCGAGGCCTCCCCGGAGGGTACATACCCGCTGCAGCTCCACCTCCGCGGCGGCCGGGGTGCCTGCACTTTGTCTCCAAAGCCCGTGTCTACACGAGGCACCGGACGGGACCAGGCCCTCTGACCCCTGCACACTGGGCCACAGCACTGGGGGCTCGAGGGAGCCGAGTGCTCCCGGGAAGGAACGTCCCGTGCTGTTTTTCTGGGTTTAGCTAAATGCTGTGTGAAGGGTAAAGGGAGACAGGGAGGGTGAGAGGGAGACGAGACGGGGGAGGACGAGGGAACGAGGCACACTCTCCTGGGAGCACATGCATCCATTTAAGGAAGGTGAGCTCATCACACTCCACACCAGGTCTATATACAGTAGCATGAGGTCCCTTTCCTCCTGGATCAGAACGTCGCCCTCCGGCAGCCTCTCGGGACCAAGGACGAGACCCTCCAGCTGTGGGTGGAGCGGCTGCGACACCTGCCTTAGGGGAGAGACTGGCCGAGGGAAGCAGGGGCTGCCCCCATCAGGCCCACCGCAGGGCTGCCGGGCGCCGCCCCCGCGGCCCCTCCCCGGGCCCACCTGGCGTGGCCTTGGCCGAGATCCACCCCTGGGCACGGGGTGCCGTGAGTAGACAGGGAGCCACAGGCAGGAATTAAATAGTGGCAACTCATATTTATTACAATTATATACAGTCATATCTTATATTCTGAAACCTATACCTGATCACACAAAAGAACACGTGTTTGGGGGGCAGGGCGGGGCAGGGGACAGACAGGAAGACCCTGTGCCTGGCTCCTAGTGGAGGTGGGACCACATCTCACCACGGCAGTAGCTGAGCCACGATGCGGCAAGCGAACGGTCGGGAGCAGCGTGATGTCATGGGTGGCGGACGACCGGGCTGCGGCTGCGACGGGCACACAAGGTTGGCATCGTCCGGGCAGGGACTGGCTGGGGGGCCCGGGGGGCCCCCGCCCAGAGGGGAGCGCAGGGCCATTGCTTTGGGGATCACAAGAGCGCGGCCCCCTTGGTCGCTGGTGAGAAGCAGTGAGGGAGCCGGGGCGGAGGGAAGGGACGGCAGATGCCAGGCCCCGCGGCTCCTCCTCCAGAGGGTCAGGAGTCAGGTAATAAAACTACCCCTTGTCATGCACGGTGTTAGGTTGGCTAAGACGCCCAGCAGACACCCCTGCACGGGACATCTGCCTGGGCGGGGGCTGGGGGGGCTTGCGCCCAGAGAGTTCGGAGCCCTCGGCCCGACATGAGGACAAGGTCAGAGGCCTGTCTGCCTGCGGTGGGCGGGGTGGACACGCTTCGGCCCTCACACCGCCCAGGCTGGCGAGGCTGCGGCAGCCCTGCCCCCGCCTGGCTCAAGGCCACGTCCTGCGCCTGGACCAGGACCCCGGCCGCCTAGTCCCGTTCGCTTTCGTTGCTGGCGCCCTCGGGCCGCCGCAGCTTCTCCACCTGCTCGTTGATCTGCCCGTCCCCACCCCGGCGGTCCTCCCTCTGCACCCCCAGGCGGTCCTCCTCGCCCACGCGGCTCACGTCCTCGTCCTCCTCCTCGCCCTGCACCTCCATCCTCACCTGACCCTTGACGTCCACCACCCCCTCGCCCTCCTCCTGGGGGCCCAGCAGGTGGTACGTGGCCGTGGAGCCCTCAGGGCTGTGGCCCTCCTTCACGGGTGAGGACGACGTGGACTCGTTGCTGACGGGCGAGATGTCACTGCTGCTGTGGTGGTTCACGGCCGCGGGGCTGGAGGGTGACGGGGACTTGACCGGGATCTGCCAGGAGGGGATCTTCGGGGCCGACGGGGAAGGGGGGAACTGCCTCCTGGCCGAGGAGGGAGAAGATGGCAGGGTCACCCTCAGAAGAGCTGCACCCTCCTGACCCAGAGCACTCACGTTGGCTGAGCAGCCACCCCAGGGCCACTGAGCAGGGGACAGGGCCAGGGGACAGGCTGGAGCTCCGCCGCCCACTCCCCCCTCCCCCCCTCCCCCTCCTCTGTAAATAAGGCCTCTTGGCCCGTTGAGGTGGGAGCGGCTGAGACGGAAGCCAGAGGCACGGGGGCTGCCTGCAGAGCCCCCGGTCCACTCAGGGTGCCTCCTGGGGTCCCCTCTGCCTGGGGCCAGGCCCCCCCTAAATAAGGCCTCTTGGCCCGTTGAGGTGGGAGCGGCTGAGACGGAAGCCAGAGGCACGGGGGCTGCCTGCAGAGCCCCCGGTCCACTCAGGGTGCCTCCTGGGGTCCCCTCTGCCTGGGGCCAGGCCCCCCCTCCCTGGCAGCCGCTGGACACTTGGCTCTGGGGGCCCTGCCACGCCCTGGCGCCTGTTCCCTCCCGCCTTTACAGCACTGTCCCAGCCTCCAGCCCTGGGAGGGGCAGCGAGCAACAGTGGGGAGCCAGAAGCCTGGGAAGCCAAGGCCCCTGGGCCTCCACTCTCACTTGCCTGTGGCCTGGGCAAAGGCAGGGGGTGGGGGAGAGCCTGGCCACTGGTCTCGGGGTCAAAGACATCAGAACCAGAAGGGTAATGCTGGTGACCTAGCGCTTTTCTAGAAAACCTCCGAGCTCGACACTGACAGAAGAGCCAGTTCTCCCTCCCACTCCTGCGTCCCTGCCCTGGGTCCTGGGCCAGCAGCCAGCCCAGCCCAGACCTGGGAAGTCAGGTCCGCTTGGCAAGGACTTGGAAATCAAGCTCGAGGACAGGCGGGATCACCCCTGCCTGAGCTGGGAGGACAAAGGTCTGCCGCCTCCTGGGCTGCCCACCAGACCACCAGCTCTGGCCCTGGACAGCCCTTCCACCTCAGACCCTGCCACGCGGAGCGCATAGTCGGGGCCTCGGCGCTCACCGTGTCCCCAGCAGACAGCCCTCTGGTGCCCCGAGCTCAGCCGTGCCTCTCTTAAGGCCACACTCTTTTCCCCAGACAGCCTGGAAGTGGGTGGCTTGGAGAACTGGGTCCTCTGGTTGGGACCACGAGACGCTGCCAGCCCCCATCACTGACCTGGAGTGAAGGCCCCCGCCTCGCTCAGCCCCCACTAACCCCCAGGGCGCCCTGCAGGAGAGGCGGCCCAGGACTTTCAGTTTTAAAAAGAGACGGGCCCGGGCAAGCCCGGACAAGCTGGTCACCCTCCTATCAGGGCTGCGTTGGTGCTGTCCCTGCGGAGGGACAGCAGAGTGAGACCACAAGAGCCGGGGCGTGGGGAGGCGGGCACTGCGTCTGCCTCTGCCTTGAATCGTAGGGCTCTTCAAACTGAGCAGGAACAGAGACCCCTGGCCTGGCCCTCTGGGGGGGGACCTTCTCTGGGACCAAGCTGTCACTGGGAGGTCCAGCTGGGGCTGAGGACGGGGAGGAGATGGCCCTATCTGGAGGGTAGGGATTCTCTCCTCTGCTCAAGGCCCTGCTTCTGGCTCCAGCTGCCCTTGACTGGGTCTTGACAGGACCAAGTGACTGTATCTCAAAACTCATGGGCACTACAGGCTGTCACCCCTAGAGTGGGGAGGGTGGGGCCAACCGGGGAGGGAAGGTGGCAGCGCAAGAGATTCCCAAACTCAATGCCTGAATCATGCAGCTCAATCTGGGGTGGGACGCACACGGGCCCCCCATGGAGACGTGTCCCCGCCTTGCCCCCAATGGCTGGCGGCTGGATGGGTCCCAAGAGCTCCCTCCCCCAAGTCAAAGTCAGAGAGCAGAACAGAAGCCCGAGCCTTTTCAGCTCCTACCGATTTAAAAGAAGCCCTTTCAAGGAGTTAATTTCCGACTTGAGTTCACTGATGTTCTGGGACTCCAGGATCCAGTTGGTGGAAGTGGTGGCCTGAAAGTCACACAGGAGACAGAGGATCAGAGCGGCACCTCCTCCCACCCCTTGAAGCTCAGACTGCTGGGGTGGCATGGAGGACCCCGGGGGGATTCCGTGTCCTGCATGCCAGCCAGGAACCCCCTCGGTACGGTTCTGCTGCGGCCTATTCAGGGGTCTGCCTGCCTGGATCTCTGTTTAAGTGACGACTCCCTTAGAACAAACATTCCCACAAGTCTATCTGGATAGCTGACTATATTAGGGAATCAAGACATGCATTCAGGTGTGATAGTGGCAGCCTGGTTATGTAAAATAAAACATCAACAACAAAAGAGCCCTTATCTTTTATAGATACACACTGAAGTGTCTGAAGTATGAAATGATATGCTGTCTGGGATGTGCTTCAAAATCACCTGCGGGTAGGGGTATGGCAGGACGGGCCTGAGGCAGCGGCTGCAGCTGTGTAGCCAGAACATGTGGGCTTGCTGTGCAGCCCACCCCCCCGCCATTTCCAGATGTATTTGAAACATTCCATTAAAACAAAACTATTAAGATAAATAAATTCCATCTCTACAACAACTACTCCCTCCACCTAAGTCCCTCTCCCTGCAGAGAGATCACACACACACACACACACACACACACACACACACACACACACACACACACACACACACACACACACACGGGAACTCTGGGGATGGGACAGGCAGCCACCTCAACCAGGCCCAGGAGCCTGGTACCTGGAGCCACCTTGGAGGGTCAAGGGAGACACCTGAGCACCTGACTGGCCCATCCCCCAGCTCTACTCTCAATCGTGCCCAGAAGGTAGGCTTCGCCCAGGATACCCTTCCCCAAGCAGCTGTAACGTCAGGCCACACACCGGGCCCCGCTGTCTGCACAGCCAGGAGCCGACGACCAGGCCGCCCATCTGTAGCTGCTCTCCGGGATGACCCTGAAGGTTGAGCAGAGAGAACGAAGACGTCCTGGAGCAGGGCCCACAGGGGAAGCAGCCACAGGAACCTCAGACAAACGCCACCCTTCCCCGCACACCTTCCCCGTTGACACTGTTTTCTATATAAACTTCAAACGACCACACCTTTCTTTGGCAATCTTGCTGGGATAGATGGAGACGAGGTCCCCCAAACGGCAGCTGCCTCGGCCAAGCTGCCTGTGAAGTGTTTACAGGCCAGTCTCAGGTGTGATGGCCTCTGGCGCGTGGACCTCTGCCTACGGGTACAAGGCCCCCGCCGCCTGCCACAGAACACCTGGGCCCTGAGTTCAGGAGAGCGTGGGGAGCCCCAGGCTGGCAGCACGGAGGGGCCCCGCACATTCCCACCAGCCTGCGGGGCTCTAAGGTGGGGTGAGGGGTGCTGTGGGTCCTGCCTCGGCCGGCAGCCCCAGCCCCACTCCGCAGCGGGAAGCCCCCCCGCGGAGGCTGCAGGCCTCAGGAAAGAAACCCCAGGCAGCCTCGGAACGAGCGCACACAGGCGCTCGGCCGCCCTCACACACATCCCCTTGGGGTCCCCACTCCAGACCACCAGACAGCGCAGACCCAGGAGCCACTGCTCTGGCCTCTCTGAGACCTTGAAAGCTATAGCAGCCCATTAACAAGGGAGCAATTTCCACTCACCGGCCTACAAAGGACTCAAATTTCCAAACGCATATGGTGCCAGATGCCAGGATTTAGAAATAAAATCTGACATCTGGGGCTTTTTAGCCAGTCTCTAAAAAACAGTTGTAGAAAACTCCCAGCCTTCAGTTTTATGTAGGTTTTTTAATTACTGAATGCTCTTCTTTTTAATTTTTTACAGTGCTGCAGTAGGGGTTTGGAAGCCAGATATAAAAACTTACATTACAGCTGAGAAAACACAGCTCTGAGTCTTTGGTTTATGGGGTAACCGAAGCCTTCACACAGATGGGTTTAGACACCAGTGAGCACGGCTTCAGCACAGCAGAGAATGAAAGCGGCTGGGGGCGGGGGGGGGGGGGGGCATCAGAAAAACAAGCACGAGACACCCTCAGAGGCGGCGCTCAACCACCAAACGCTACCCCAGGCGCCCCTCCCCTCCTAAAATGCAACATGTGATCTTAATCTTAATGCTTAAGGTCTGCAAACAGTTTTCCAATTTCTGGGAAGGCTTCTGGCCACTGGCAGGCTGCCGCTCCAAAAGACAATGGAGGAGAGGTGGTCCCAGGCCGTGACTGCCTCCTCGGCTGCTTTATGGGCCGCCCGCGGGGAGCATGCACGGTGGCTGGCGGTGGCCACTGGCCTCCGTGGGTGGGGTACCCCACGAGAGGATTCTCGGGGACCCCCTTCACAGGAGCGCCGGCCCACACGGAGTCGCGCACTGGGGTGGGGCTTCCTCTGGGAGAGCTGCTCGGAGCGAGATCCTTTACAGCACGGCTGCGTGGAAGCAGCCAGAAAGCAACCCGGGAGGCCTTGGATGGAGTGGGAAGGGCATTGGACGCCCTGGAGCCACTGGACCACTGTCTCCCGGGCCCAGTCTGTCTCGGGAACACCCTGTCACACACGCACAGAACCCAGACCCAAAGCCTGCCATCCTGGGGCTGACGGGAGCCAGGCTCTGTCCTCAGGGGGGACAGGCAACGAGGGAGGTGCGGTACAGCTCCCCCTTACAGACGAGGGAACAGCAAGTCGCTTGTCTGCAGTCACACAGGTAGCACGGGTCACAGGAGAGCCTGAACCCCGGTGGTCTGATCCTAGGGTCTGATGTTGCCAAGACAGCTCCAGATGTGCGAAGTGAGGCAAGGAAGCTGCCTCAGTCGACCCCAGGTGGGTCTACACTCCTCTGGGGGTTACCGGATCCCGAGGCCTGGGTTTGGAGAACCCACCCACGGCAGCATTTCAGCCCAGGGTCTGGGTACACTACTCCCACCCTGTTCCCCGCAATCGCTCTTGGCAACGCCGGGACCTCTGACCTAACTTGCGGTGGAGACCATCCCGTGTCGACACCGGCCACCACCAGATCTGGGGCGTGTGCTGCCACGGGAGGGCCACAGGCACAGAGCTGCTTTTCCTCCCTCCTGTTGGGAGGTGACACAGAGACAGAAAGGACAGCCTCCGTCACTGAATGCCACACCACCAGCACGGTGACCGCCTCCTGTCTCTACAAGGGCAGGGTCACCGGTGTCAGAAGAGACAACATCAGACCCCAGCGGATGCAGTGAACTGGGCACAAACGACGGGAGTGAAGAGCCGTGCAGGGCAGACCCGGACCTAGAGGGACCAGAGGGTCAGGGACAAGTACCTTGGCTGTGGCCAGCTCGTGGGCGAGCTCCTGGACTTTCTGCTGCTGCTGAATCAGCAGCTCCTGGACAGAGGCTAAAGTCATCTGTAACTGAGTCACTGGGAGGAAAGAGCAGTTGCATCTCTGTTAAATGATACAGATTCTTCCTTCTGTCCACACACCTATAAGCTGCTGCATCTAGTCTATCTGCAGACATTCCCCCCTTCCCCCGCCCGGCCCGTGCAATCCATATAATTCATCTGCACTCTGGGGCATCTACCTGCACTGTATCTAACCTCTAGTATTTCTACTTTATCTTTCTATTGTGTAGTTGTCCGTGGTCAACAGTATATCCGTCCAAAACCTCTCCCCTTTAATTATATCTGTTTATGATTCGCTTGGCTCTTGCAACTTCCATCCTGCCTGCATCCCCCATCTCCCGGGCCTCCCCACGCCACTGCAGAACTCATGGCAAGTCTCCAATCCTGGGAGAGAGACATCTCAGTCCACAGCATCCCGGAGCGGTTACAAACTGCAAATCCCATTTCCTTACCGCTCCTTGCTATCCTCCCCACCCCTGCTAGAGCTCCCGGCCCACCGTCAGCCTCCAAGGAGACATGCCAGCAGGGCACGTGCTCCAGAGGGTTTCCGAGGGCTTCACAAACATGCCCCCGAGGGACAGACTCCTGCCTGGGACAGGCGGCTCTCTAGTTTGCCAGAGTTTTTAGATTCAGAGGCTCCATCTAGTAAACAAGTTTATAAAGGAGAAAACCACCTCTGGCGCGACAGGTCCCAGCTAATCTGGGCCATCACTGGGGCACCGGGTAATGAACGTGAGCCCCGTGGAGTCCATGACAGAGGAGGTGGCCGGGGTCCCTGGAGCCGCAGTAATTACAGCCTCTCTTGACCCTGTGTTGGATTCTTAGAGAGAAGGGGGAAAATTGCTGAAAACCCCCCTGAAAACCTCATAGAAGCAGAAATTAAAAATGAACTTTACAGCCCTTAGAAAGGCTGTCATTTTATTCCCCTTATTAATATTCTGAGGTTGGGAGCCTTTCCGTAAAAACATAATTAATTGAGGCCGCGCCGACAGTAAACAAGCAATTTCAAATTAAACCGAAATGACGGCGGCTTCATTTGCAAATGTGAACAGATTCTCAGAGCAGATAAATGAAGTCACCACATAAAGTGGAGACGGAGGGGAGAGGGGAGGGGGCACAGAAGAGAAGGCTTTGAGGGGTGACTCGGTGGAGCCGTTAGTCTTTACCTGTCTGTGCCACGCTGCCACTCAGCTCTGAGACACTCGCCTCCACCCTCTCCAGTTGCTTCCTGTCCTCCCGGCCGCGCGTGATGAGCGGGAGCAGGTGCTTCTGCGAGAAGCAGGGCGCACGTGAGGAACGGGTACGTACGTGGGATACACTTCAACAGTCTCTCAAATTCTGCCGACCAACTTTCTCTCCATCCACCCTGGGTTTCGGAAACCCTAGGCCAACGCCGTAAATGAACAGGACATCTTAAAATTATGAGGCTGTGATTACAAGCATATAAAAAAAAAAAAAACCAACTCTGTCTGAATCAGGACCAGAACCAGGGAATAGGGACACAAAAAATCAATTTGACCCACTATGATGGAGCACTTTTCGGTTCTTTTAGATTTTTACATGTTGCTATATACAATACTTGTGTCCAAAAATACTCAAAATTCTACTTTAAAAGTTGTATATCGGGCTTCCCTGGTGGCACAGTGGTTGAGAGTCCTCCTGCCGATGCAGGGGACACGGGTTCGTGCCCAGGTCCGGGAGGATCCCACATGCCGCAGAGCGGCTGGGCCTGCGAGCCATGGCCGCTGAGCCTGCGCGTCCAGAGCCTGTGCTCCGCAATGGGAGAGGCCGCAACGGTGAGAGGCCCGCGTACCGCAAAAAAAAAAAAAATTGTATATCATAAAAATGCAAAAGTTTATACAAGAAAGTGATACCACTGGTGGCTTCCAGCGGGGGAGTGGGAGGGAAGTTTGCGGTACACTTTTCTGAACCTTTAACATTTTGAACCACGTGAATGAATTCTCCATTCGGAAACAAACAAGTAAAAATAAACAAAAAAATTATTCAAGAAACAAGATCAAAATCCACAACAGATTTGTGGGACCTTTGGCTCTTTCACTAGGAGGGGATAATAATATGGGTATATTCCGAGGCTACCTAAGGTCACACCCATTCTTCTTCGAAAAGCCTTGAATCCTCAGAGCAAGCTTCCTTCAGATAATTAGAGTTAAATGCAGCCAGACTCTCCCAGAACTGAGACATGGGGCAGAAGGGGTAGCAAGGCGCAGAATCAGGAGACACTGACCGTGGGGGAAAAAGGAAGCTGATGCTGCAGGGCAATCTTGAATGTTCTGAGAATCTCGGAACATTCAGGAAGAAGGCAGACGGGGCGCAGCTGGTAACTGACTGCCTGCTTGCAAGTGTGAAGGGTTAGAGGTGGGCAGCAAGGTGCCCGCTGGGAGAGCTGGACGAAAGAACATGGGCTCCAAACTCCAAGAGCTCTGGACGTGGAGCCCCCCATCTTAGGAGCCTGAGACCAGTCACCAACTTTACTGGGGTGGCACCAGGGGTGGCACAGTGCAAGCTTGGCAGGTGTAGTAACTGGCAGGTATGACCAAAGGAGACTTTGGTTCTTACTCCGTTCGGGCCCCAGACAGGAAAAGATGGCAACTTCTCCATTAAGGCTTCTGTACTGGGGAAGGGAAAGGAGGTCTCTCACAAGGGGCCTGTCAGAGAACTCATTTCAAGAGCAGCTCCTAAGTGAGGATCACTATTTAGCAAATACGTACAGAAGCATTTTCTATTTTGCAAAGTGCTTTTCAACCATCATGTGAGTTATTACCCACAGCTGAGCCAAAACTCATAAAATGGAGCCTTACGTTCCAGGTTGAAAATTTCCAAAGTATAAAAGTCAAGAAATTCTTACACGTGTAATGGACTAAAAATTCCATTTCTAAAATCAGAAATGCCAAGGAAAGGAACACATACACTACCCCAGCCTAAATCTTTACATATTTATAAAACAAGATAACAGCTTACCTCTCCTTTTTGTTTTTTAATTTAGCAGATGTTTTTTAAATTCTCTTGTCACCATCGTGACTGATCTTTCAATGTCTCTTCGGGCCTCTCACTGTTGTGGCCTCTCCCGTTGCGGAGCACAGGCTCTGGAGGCCCAGGCTCAGCGGCCATGGCTCACGGGCCCAGCCGCTCTGCGGCATGTGGGATCTTCCCGGACCGGGGCACGAACCCGTGTCCCCTGCATTGGCAGGCAGACTCCCAACCACTGCGCCACCAGGGAAGCCCCCTCTATGTTTTTTAAAATTGAGATGAAATTCACATAATATAAAATTAACCATTTTATAATTCAGTGGCATTAGTACATTCATAGTGTTGTGCAGCCACAACAGATCTGTTTGTTTGTTTTTTGTTGTTTTTTTTTTGCGGTACGCGGGCCTCTCACTGTTGTGGCCTCTTGCGGAGCACAGGCTCCGGACGCGCAGGCTCAGCGGCCACGGCTCACGGGCCCAGCCGCTCCGTGGCACGTGGGATCTTCCCAGACCGGGGCACGAACCCGTGTCCCCTGAATCAGCAGGCGGACTCTCAACCACTGCGCCACCAGGGAAGCCCCAGTGTCTCTTCTTTTTTAAAGCAGAGACTAAAGATCAGAGCTTCGTGGAAACAACAGATGATATCTCTCCTTTGCTCCAAGGGGAGCTATGCTTTCTGTCTCCGCCAGATCACAGGCCGTCCAAGGGCAGCCATGTGACTACCAGGTACCGCTTAGCAGAGCTGGGACATTGATGTGAGAATCCTGTCTTAGCATATTCTCCTTCTTGGTGACTGTATGCAGTCAGTGGTTGGAAATAGGCTTTCAGGCCACAATGGCATCAGAGGGAGAAGTCCCAGGACCCAGAACATCTTGATTCTGGATCTCTAACGTGGAGATTCCCAACTTCAAGAATAAATGTTACACTGAAAAGATCATATTCTGCTGCAACTCTGTCATTAGCTTTTGCACTTAAGTGAAAAATTAAGAATCCCAGAGTACAATGTTGAAACATGTTTCCTGTGCTAAAAGTTAAACATGGGGGGACTTCCCTGGCGGTCTAGTGGTTAGGACTCCGTGCTTCCACTGTAGTGGGCACAGGTTTGATCCCTGGTCGGGGAACTAGGATCTAGCAAGTTGCGTGGCGTGGCCAAAAAAAAAAAAAAAGTTACAACATGAGTCTGGATAGTCATTCAGATTCTTTTTAAAAAATTTCCAAATCAGAGATGGAGTCGCAGGTGGCCTCAGAAGGAAAGGACCAGCAGAGAGTAAGTCCTCCAGCCACTCTTTTACCTTTTGTCTCTGGGGACCTACCCTGGCTCTGCATCTTCTAAAAAAGACTCAACTTGCTTCAAATCAAAGTTAGTAGCTGGTAATTAGTATCTGATTAGTATCTGGTATCAAGGAAGTAAATGTTACTTCATGCCTGCAGCTCCGTTGTAAGCAATGAACTCTGGGATCCTGAGGGTTGACTACGTAGTCCATGAAAAACCCCAGGTTTACATGGATGACAACACAACACATAGGGGGAAAAGGGAGATCCTGTAGTTACGTTCGTACTGAGATTCTCAAGAGCGTGCAGAGCGCTTCCTGTGTTCTGGGCGCACAGCACTTCCCAGGGGAGCACTGACTCCTTTCAGCATCACAACAGCCTCGTAAGGTAGATACTATTGTCCCCATGTTACACACAGAACGGCTGAGCCTGCGGTCACACAGCTGCCAAGCGGCAGAGCCAGGGTGCAACACAGGCAGCTGGGCTCCAGCGTTCATGCCCTTAACCACACGTCATTCTGTCTCTCAAAAAGGTCTGGCCTGCTCAGTAAGTGCCAGGCACTGTTCTAAGTACCTGATGTGGCTCGTTGATCGACGGGCCTCGTCACCCTGTGCAGCAGGGACTTGGAGGGGAGATGCCGAGTCCAGCAGATGAGGCGGGTCTGAACCTGCCAAGCGCACCCACCCGGGTGGGAACAGGACCAGGACTTGACCTGGACGCCCCTCAGCGAGCGAGATCAGGGCGCTCGGCCTCTGCAGGCAGGCCCGCTGCTGCCCCCGGGCTCAGGGCAGCGCCCAGGGGGTGCAGGGAGGGGCAGCTTACCTTGTAGAGCTGGTGAAAGCCAAACGCTATCCCTGCCATGATGATGGCCAAGGCGCTGTAATCTCTCCACCGGGAACCCGCAGGGCCTACGGTCGGGGGAAAAGGCACGTCAGGAGAAGAGGCACTGGCGACGCCCCTGAGGCAGGAGAGCACGTGGATTCAGGCCCCTCATCTCAGTCGGGGGGTGTGTCTCATGCTCAGATGGGGGTGAGCATCAGGATGCAGCCGGGCTGCGCCTCCCTCCTCCTCCCAGGCCCCTGGACTGCGCAGCTGCCGTGGGCTGGTACCTAGGCGGGCTGAGGCCCGGGGTGGGAGGCGGGCGGCAGAGGCGATCTGAAGACCTAGGGCACGGGCCCCACTTCGAGGAATAAAGGATCCAGTGAGGCTGCCATGAGCACACCTAGGTGTGCATGAATACACGCCCACACACCCTCCTACATGAGCCTGGAGCCACCTCAGAGCAGGGCAAAGGCTGCATCACCTGTTTATTCAACTTGATGAAGCCCTGACAGGGAGCACCACAGTGCCGTAGGCACGGGTTACAGTGGCGGCGAAACCCCTGCCCTGTTCTGTTCTGCTCTCACATGGAGGCTGGTGGAGAGGAGGCAGCCTACCAACGACCGAATGAGGTGGCTCCAGACAGCGATCAAGAACACCGAACGGGACCAGGAGAGAGTGCGGACGGCAGGGCCTCGGTGGAGGAGGATGCCGAGACCTGTGCGGTCCCGGGCACGGCGCTCCAGGCGGGGGACAAGGAAGTGCAAAGGCTGAGGCTGTCCTGTGCTCAAGCAGACGGGGGAGCCCCTGGGCTTCACCCGGGGTGAGGGGGCTACTGCTGGCCAAGAGACAGCAAGAGCAGAGAGGGGAGCGGTGGGGGGAACGGGGCGGGGGGAAGGTGGGAAAGGCTGGCCTGGCGGTGAGCGCACCCAAGGAACCTGGCCATCGTTTCACAAGCAGCGGGGTCACTGAAGGCTCTGAACCAGGGAGTGACGCGGTCACGGCTCTGTGTTCTGGGAGAACAACATCAGGGAGCACGGAGGGCAGCTACAAGTGGGAGGCCGCGGAGGCAAGAAAGCAGGGAGAGGCTACCGCAAGGGGCCTCCAAAGGCGAGAGGGACTGAGCCCAGGACGGACCGTCTCAGGGGATCCGGACACAGGCAGCCGGTCTTCATGTAGGGTCAGGCCCTTCGGAACACAAAGTCCCCTCCAAGCCCTGAATGAACTTCTAGTTCCAGAGGAGAGGAGAGCTTAACCTTCCCCACGGACTGTTTACAAGTGCTTTCGTGCCCATAACCTGATGTGACGCCCAGCGATTCTGTCAGGCACACAGGAAAGCACGAGCCCCTTCTGGAACATCTACCTGGAGCAGCCGCGTTCAGGCCAGCCCTGCCTCCTCTCAAGGGACCAGCCACCGGGCAGGGGGCGGCGGGGGGTGGTGGTGGTGCGTGGGCCACTGCTTCCAGAGCCATCAGTGGTGCAGGACACCACCAGTCTGTGGACTCAGACCAGGTGCCAGGACAGTGACCCAGGAGGCACCCACCCGAGGCACGCTGCTGCCACAAGGACCTGGGATCTGGAATGGATCCAAGAGAGAAGGTGAGGGAGGAAGAGCCAACGCACTCCACACGCGGCCGGGCGCCTCATCTCCTCCGAGACGGACACCTGTGGCTCCAGCCGTCCCCCTCCCCTGGGCCTGCAGGTACTGGCCACGTCCTGGCGCTTCATGACCAAAGGAGAGCAGGAGAGGGGCGGTTCTTAAAGTCCTTGGCAGGACGTGAGCACATGGGGAGGAGGGGCTGCTGGCATGCAGTCTAATCAGGGATCCAAGTGGCAAAGACCTCCAAGGGGGCGAGGCGGACGCTCCCTCCTCCCTGAGCTGCTGAAGGGGGCTGTCAGGAGGCAGAGACGATGGTGATGGGAGAGCCTGGAAGAGCGTCTCTCCCT